CAAAAAAGAGTGTGCGAAACGCTCCTCCTGTGGTCGCACTTGCCATCCGCAGCAGGGGAGCAAAAATGCCTACAGCAAGTCCCCTCTCCTACAAACACCATGGTACACGTGCTAGGACCGAGCCACTTTGCCTTTTGAAGAGGGTGTTGAAGTCGACGCTCTCGACCGACGAAATCACCCGACCAATCAGAGCGAGGCGGTCTTTCGCTCGGCCGGGCTTGCTGGGGTGCATCTCCCCGACCAGGAGGACTCCGACCTCGGACATGTCGAGCAAGTTTTGGGCCACCCTGGCTCGTTTCGGAGAAGGGGGGGGGGGGCCCGAAAAAAGCAGAAAAACCAAGGAAAGACGAGGAGACTCGAACTTTAGATAAATATACCAGGTACATGACAATATTGTTGGCCTGAACAAGTTCGGCCTGAACAAGGCGAAAAAGAACAGCAGCGAACCAATACAACCAGGTACTTGAATACTAAATATTCTACGACTGAAAGAGGAATCAAATGCACTAGCCAACACACCCAAAAAAAACATCATTATCGCAGTCTGATGGAAGAAACAACGCACACACGCTAAACGAAGTCGGACCTGACCTGGCCATGCCGGCAACCCTTTCCTCGTTAACGAGGAGCACGCTGCCGACCGAGACGCCGTTGTGTTGCCGCTTCTCCAGGGACCCGAAGGCCTCCACGAGGGAAGACTGTTGCCCCTCCGACAGCGACGTGTGCGTGTACTCGGACACCACCGTTTGCTGGCAGCCTGCAACGCGCGCGAGCGGAGGAGGGAGTTTGTGCGATGTCGTGGAAAGCGCGACCAACAAAAAGAGCGGACGGCATCCACCATCATTCTTACCTCGCTCGACGAAAGGTTGAGGCTCTTCGCTCTTCGCGACAAGCACCGCGGCGACGACGAGAGAAACCAAAAGACAACAAACCGCCGATGCACCGAAGGGAACGTATACCGCATCCAAAATCACCGATTGATCACTACTGCACCTCACTAACCTTGCATCATGAGCCACGCCAGGGCGGCTGCGTCCCGCGCCGTCGCAGAATCGTACGTCAACGACCCTGCTCACAAAAAAAAGACAAGGGAAGAACAAAAACAGAAGGAAAACGAACGTACGAAGGCGCACGTCATGATCGCTGGTCCATTGGACCGCGCATGTTGTTGAGCCTTTCGACTATTTTCGGGTGTAAGTTTACAATGGAACCAACAGCGGTACATAGGGCTACCCGGCTGCTGAAACAATATATTTGTTGTGTTATAGTGTTGGGTGTGTTTTGCTTTAGGTATTGTTAATTTTGAATTTTAGGGACGCACTGTAGAGCTCGGTAACGCCAAAGTTCGCGTTGTATCCACAAGATGGCCCACATCATCCTAGATGGAGGTGAGGTGTATTCATGTCGCGCCGTTTCGTGACGTGTGTGAGACAGAAAGAACACCCTCGTCGGGTGTACGTACAACCTGTCGGCCGAGCGAGCGGCATGTTGCGTTTCACCCGGTTGTGGTGAAAAGTAAAAAAAAAAAGAAGGAAATACACTGTAGTTTTATGCTGCTCGGGAATCGTAGAATCAAAGGTATCATATTCATACTGTATTATATGCATATTATAATATAGTGAGTTCCCCGCTAACAACACCATGGATTTGTTGCTAATTCTCCCGAACTATTTTATCTGTGGATAGAGATTTACTCTCATCTGTGGATAGAGATGAACTTTCATCTGTCAATAGAGATGGAGTTTTATCTGTGTATGTGTCCATCGCATCTATTCTGCGCCGGTTTACAGGCCTTCCGGCGAGTATACCTGATTCATCAGCCGGGGTCACACAAGAGGCAGGTCACACAGATTATTTTTTCCCTTCTTTTTGTTTTGTTTTGTTGCCCCACCTTTACCCCTGCGGTGCTTGCCTTAGTTTATATCGCGAGAAGGGTTCAGCCATCCCTTTCCCTCGTCAACCCTGAAGCCGACGTTTGTTTACTCACGACCAAAGATCGCTTTCAACCACAGGTTGCTGGAAATAAATCCCGGGAAAAATACTGTGGACAGAGATTGACTCTTATCTGTGGACAGAGATTAACTCGTTGTGCTACAACAAAACAAAAAAGAAGAGAACAAGCTATCCGACAACCTACGGCGAAATAAAGTCACCTGTGTCCGCATGAATGCCCAGAGCAAGGAGCGTACTCTCCGCCTCCGTAAGCTGAACTCCGACCCCGGCTCCTTGCTCGAGACCCGACCGGATCATCTCCGTCACCACCGTCGTTGCCGCACCCACGCTAGAAAGAGAGAGAGAGATAGATAGAGAGAGAGAGAGAGAGAGAGAGAGAGAGAGACAGAGACAGAGACAGAGACAGAGACAGAGACAGAGAGACAGAGAGACAGAGAGACAGAGACAGAGGCAGAGACAGAAAGAGAGAGAGAGAGACAGACAGAGAGAGAGAGAGACAGACAGACAGACAGACAGAGAGAAACGACAAGGTCGGGTCTGAGAGTGTGAGGAGTGGTGCGACCTCGGCTCTCGTTTCTTCGCCTTTTTTGTGTTTCGGTCAGCGGAAAATCGCCGATCGCGAAAAATCCCTTGCGAGAACGATGCTGCTGAGAGGAGGAAGTGGTTGCCTCACGGACACCAGGTCAATCCGTTTCATCCCGACGACGAGAACAAGACGACAAATAACAACAACAGCAGCAACAGCAGCAGCAACAGATGTAAAAAACACCACCACCGCCACCACGACAACCTACAGAGACAGCAACAGAAACAGCAACAGCGAAAGGTTTCCCACGACAACAAGCACACCCACCTCTCGATGTGGAGGACAGCGTCGACGATGTCCGAGTCCTTGTCCACGTGGTGATCGTACACGTGGACGCTCTCCGCCTGGTCCAGGAGCTCACTCGCTGGCCCCACACGATCTCGCGTCTGCGCATCACACATCCCTACCTTCCGAGCCTGCCGTAAGAAGGGAAGGAAGGGCGGACGCAACAGCAGCAGCCCGGAACAAAAGCAGTGTGTCGTTAACGGCCGTAAATAAATAGGGGGGGGGGGGGGGGGGGGCGTATTCTATGTTTTGCATTCCTTGGCGGTGAGACCATTGACCAAGTGTGTTCGAGAGGACGGAGCATTGTTCCCACAGGACCGATCACCAATGGTCAATCGTTCCTACTTCGCCAACGGTGGCTCAAAAACGTTCCCCTAAGCCTATCCATCCTATCGATAACACTTCCCGCCTTTTCAAACCCTCTTCCGATGCCCCAGCACAGCTACCTTCTTCTCCTGGCTGTTCGATGCCTCAAACACCTCCCTGTATCTTCCTTCTACATTTCCCAGCTCAGTCGTGTACACGTTCCTCTCCTTCTCTTGTACAACGGACATTCCGCAACCACATGAAGCCGGTCTCCGCACTAGGAGCCGCAATCACATTTGAAGTTATCGTCTTCATCGTCTACCTTCCTATGTCTTCGTCGACGTTCTTCAAGGTCAAGGTCCCCGGTCCTAAATCTGACCTTGAGCTTTGTACCTGCATCCATTGGTCCATGAAGGTACTCCGGAACCCTTTTCCTCCATTAACATTCCGTACATATCTAGACCCTCCTTATCCTTGGTTCATTGGTTAGATTCTGTTTTTCTCTCTAGGGCAAAAGTAACAGATATCTTCTCCTTGAACCCCTCTAGACCGTCCGTTTCCGGCCTATCACCTTCCGTCAATTTCCAACTCCTTCCATACGTCGTCTACAACCTTGACCCTCTCCGTGGGTTGTCTACCCCTCTTCTTCTTTGCCCACTTCGCCTCCTAAGAGCTATTCTCGGCAACCTCTCCTCTCCCATACCGCACATGCGGTACTGCCAAACTAGCTTCCTTGCGCCTCTTCCCGATCGTGGGGATTGGATCCCCACTTCTGCCCTGACGGCTACAATACTTATGCGCTTTGAGCATCCTAGGACGATTTTCGCTGTTTTCATCTGGGCCGCCTCGACCTCTGACTACCTTCTTCGTTCCTTCCCATACTTCTCCTGCGAACTCTAACGGCGGTACGATTACGCTATTTTAAAAATGTTCTATTTGATGCGTGCATCGAGGTGTAGGTTTGCGAGTATTGGGTGCAGCTTCCCTGCTCGTGCTTGGCCCTTTTCCGCTACCTTGGACATGTGTGCATTCCATGAACAGTCTTTTGCGATCTCTACAATACTGGTGGTGTATCAAACACATCATTCCGTCCGCCTTGGTTTTACTCAAGGGAAATGGACAAAAGTGGGTATACCCACGCCATTCTCGGACAAAAGTGGGTACTCGAAAATCCAGCGCGCGCGCCCTCCACAGGCGACCCCCAAACGACTAAAAACCCCATTCTGACACCTGGGCGACACAGCCAGGGACCATACACAGCACGGGCATCGATTTTTTCCCACTTTCAGGCACACCTTTGGCCCTAATACCGCCGAGGCGCGCAAGGCCTCACCAGAGTGCCCACTTCTGTCCGACATCGCGGTGGGTATACCCAGCGGCGTCAACTAGTTTTTTCATGTACCCACTTGTGTCTGTATTTTGACCCACTTTTGTCCAAATTGTACCCACTTTTGTCCACTTACGGACGGCGGAAATCGAGCGGAAATCGACCTCCACGTCACCGCACGGCAGAACATCGAATAGCCTCGGAACGTCTCAGAACCTCCCAACACCGTATCCATGGCATCTTTCCTATCCATGGCTGCCGACTGCGGACCGACCACGGAGGAACATGTCAGAAACATGCCAGACCCCTTCGGTACCGGCACGGGAAGATACCCGCGGCAAGCCCGGCAAGCAGCGCACTAACGTCACGCCACAAATAAATGCGTGACACACAACGGACGACAAAACCAACGGGCGCGCACACAGAACAAAAAGACGCGCATACAGCAACACACACACACGCGCGCGCCACACACACAAAAAACACCAACCACCATAACGAGTGCACACCGACTCGTGAGGGCAGCAACACAGCATGTCGAGGCAGTTTACCACGCAACTACGTCATGCTAAAAAAGAGGGTATTTATATGTACTGTATGTATATACGAAGTGAAAATCCGACCCGATATCCCGCGGTCGGTCCGCAGTCGGCAGCCATGGATAGGAAAGATGCCATGGATACGGTGTTGGGAGGTTCTGAGACGTTCCGAGGCTATTCGATGTTCTGCCGTGAGGTGACGTGGAGGTCGATTTCCGCTCGATTTCCGCCGTCCGTAAGTGGACAAAAGTGGGTACAATTTGGACAAAAGTGGGTCAAAATACAGACACAAGTGGGTACATGAAAAAATTAGTTGACGCCGCTAGGTATACCCACCGCGATGTCGTCAAACGACAACAAACTGTCGTTCGAACGGTGCCCTGCTGCTGAGTTGGGGCTGGCTTCGGCCACTGCTGCCAACTGCCATCGCCGCCCACTCAGTAGGTAGTCGAGTTCGGAGTGCAGTCACAATAATAGCTGACAATTGCAAACGACAACAAACTGTCACTCGAACGGTGCCCTTTTGCCGAGTTGGGGCTGGCCTCGGCCACTGCTGCGGACAGAAGTGGGCACTCTGGTGAGGCCTTGCGCGCCTCGGCGGTATTAGGGCCAAGGTGTGCCTGAAAGTGGGAAAAAATCGATGCCCGTGCTGTGTATGGTCCCTGGCTGTGTCGCCCAGGTGTCAGAATGGGGTTTTTAGTCGTTTGGGGGTCGCCTATGGAGGGCGCGCGAGCTGGATTTTCGAGTACCCACTTTTGTCCGAGAATGGCGTGGGTATACCCACTTTTGTCCATTTCCCTTTATTCAATTGCTAGCAACCATTTCGTTCTCTCCAATCAAGGTAAGGTCGTAGCACAAGGCAGTGCACGGCACAAGGATGGCGATGGGGGCTCTAGATCAAGCCCATGTTCGCTTGGCGGCTCCCTTCCCTCACCGTACCCTCCCTCACCGGACTGTGTTTCCAAGCCGACGAGCAGTCAAATTGACTCGACACTTTAAGGAAAGCATCACCCCCCCCCCTGATTCCTCCACCCTTCCCCCCTCCCCTTC